GAAGAGCCGATACGCCTTTACGACATCCTGGTCGTAGAAGATGTTACGGGGGCAGAGAGGTCATGCAGAACTCTCTATATAAGGAGGATGCGGGCAGGTCACTAGGATCTTCGCACACACGCGTACGCAGGTGAGACAGAGAGCGAGGGAGAGAGAGCGCATGCGAGAGAGAGAGAGAGAGAGAGAGAGAGAGAGAAAGAAAGTGCAAGAGGACCGGTCGATCACAGGCGAGGAAGCGCGTGTGTGTAGGACAGCGCGCCGTGCTCAGGTCTAGCTATAGGTAAGTGGCTCTGTGTCATGAGATACGAGAATATATCGATCACATTGCAATTACGACGGCGAGATATCGAATGCGCCTGCATATGAACGTCTCCGAATTAATTATTTTTAGCGCCATGAAAATGAATGCATTCATCTACCAACCAGATCATGCACAGAACTATACTACTTCGTTGTTGTTAAACGAAGTCACAATGTAGCAAATTGCGAGTTCCGTTACATATAATTAAGCAACCCGATAAGTTATTTGTCGACGGCTAAATTATATTAATCATGGGTTCCGATTGGCAAAAACCTGCTTTTATTTATCGCGGTATGCATATTTAACGACACAAAATGCGCAAGTCTGCGCATGATGGCCAGCAGACGTATGAAGTTTCATGATGGTAAACACCAATATAATACCGATGTAAGAATAACTAATCCGGACTACGATAACAACTGATGCATTTTATTTATCAATCTCATGATTATAATTCATTATTCATTTATTATCATCTTTTTATCGCCGCGGCGAAATGGTTTCTACGGCGGTACTAATAATTAATTTCGAGCGCCGAAGACTGACGAGCTGCTTCGTTCATCCATCAATTAATTATAATTCATTATGCATTCATTATGAACTATCTATTGTCGCGGTGAAGAGAATTGTATTTCGGAGTAAACAATGGTCAGCTGTGTATACTAGTGCGGCTTCCCTCGCGCATGTTAACAGCTGCATTCTCTCCCGCGGATATATCTGCCTGTTTCACATCGACGCGCGTACAGAATTAAATTATCGCATGCGTATGCGCATTGTTAATTTCTGCCAATGTGTTCTGTAGGATGTCGTGACGCTATTCGATATACCATCGTTAGGTTCAGCCACATTAGTCGATATACAAAAGCTCCTCGTGTGTCGATAAGTGATATACCTGGTATGTGCGTATTCGACATATACATACTTCAAATTCAATTAGCCCCTGAAATTCACGTGTACAAATTGCCGGCCGCTACGTTGATTGTTTTGATTGTAAACGTAATTATCACGGACCAATTGAACTCATGTGAAATAACGAAATACGGATTTACGAGCGGTTTCGACCTACACCTGATCTGTGCGAGTCAAATAGATTAATATACATCAATAGTCTCCGTTTCTGCCGCTTTTACTGCCTCCGTATGTCGCTGTGTCGGCATCTTGCCAACGTATCTGTCTGTATATGCCTGGCATGCCTGCTTTCCTGTATCCCTTCCTGCCTGCCTTCCAGCCTACCTGCCTGCCTGCCTATCTGACTGATATAGACTGATACATCTCATGTGCACAGACATTTCATGTATGCACAAGCATCTATATCGCAGCGCAGTGTATAAGATATTAAACCCGGCCTGACGTTGGTGGCTGTATATATGCAGCGACAGCGCTGATTCACCGTATAGTAACCTGCTTACGACATGTACAGGCACGCCGACCGAGAGCGGCTACAAAGTCTCATAATGAAAGGCTTTGCTACGCATGCCGCTATAATTGCTTACAAATTTGGGGGGATTATGCCGATCTTAGTGGGGTGAGCGATTAATCAGTAAAATGTTAAATGCATGACGTACTTTTAATAGAATCTTTGACACACGCCTTACAGTCACACCCACACGCACACACACACGCACACGCATGCGCACACGCACACGCACACGCACACGCACACGCACACGCACACGCACACGCACACACACACACACACCACACACACACACACACCCACGCGCACACACACACGCACACGCACACGCACACGCACACGCACACGCCCATGCGCGCGCACACACACATATGTATATATATATATATATATAATATTAGGATGATATACAGATTATTGGTCGACATTGGTTGCTTGATACGATAGGAACGGTTGCGTGTCATTTCCTGTCACATATAGGCCGATATACGAGTTATGAGGTCGTGATCAAGCCCTGGCATCTAATAAAACGATGTCGTTGCTTTAAATTGTGTTATATTGGGCGTGGAATGGGGTGAGATTCAAATTCAGCCGTCGCCGTGTAATGATTTTATTAGCATTTGTAACACACCTATAATTATTATGCGAGTAGAGCAGCGCATGTAAACAGACATCCTGTATATATATATATATATATATATATATATATATACTATATATATATATATATATTATTTATTATTATTGATATATATTTATATATATATATATATATATTATATATATATATATATATATATATATATATATATGGTTAACGCAGGTAACAATATCGTGACGCAGAGATCTGTTCCAACCACTGAGAGACACACGCTCCTGGACCAAACATGCAGGCCGCATTTTTCGCTATAGTCCTGCTCGTCTGGGTGAGTTGACACAGCTTTACGAAAATGTGTAAGAAATCCTCTGTGAAGCAGTTTGTGCGTGCGTACATCTTTGCTCGGAAATAATTCATCGCGATAGCAGTACGTCAGCTGTACGAGAATTAACGTGAGAAATAGCACGCACGCGTTAACAAATTTGTTTCCTGGAGTTCACACTCTGCTGTTGCTCGGTTCACGTATTAGCCGCCGTTTAGCAATTGAACTCTTGCAAGCAATGTTGCCATCGACATTCGTGCGCGATGTATACATGGCAATCAGTTTTCCTGAGATTTCTCGTGAACTTTTTAATGTGAAAATTCGCCGAAAATTACATAGAAAATGTCGCAAAAGGTGTGAAAATTTTTACCGACATAATTAGCGCAGACTGGTTGCCGCGGGGAATAACCTCACGAGTCGCCTGTCTCACTTAGACTGGCACGATGAAGGTCCAAGCCCAGGACCCCGTGCACCGACCCTACAGCAGGCAGCAACAGTCACGACAGCAGCCACAGCCACAATGGCAGCAGCAGTGGAGACAACAGCAGCTCGCGCGAGGCCGGGGTGCTAGCCGTGGTGCTGACGTCAGCGCGTCGTCCGCAGCAGCGACGACCGCAGGTCGTGCGCAATCCACCGACAGCGCCACTACAATTCAGCAGGCAGGCCGCGGGAGGGCGCCAGCGGCGGACAGCGGGCGGGTATCTGCTCCTGTGAACAGCGGTAGAACGCAGGCGAATCCTTATTCGGGCCTCTACCGTGGCAATCAGCAAGGCCAGGCTCTCGTTAAAAGTAAGCAAGAGCGCGTAAAATAACCGCGGACTTCCGCGTATGCAAGTGTTGACGAGATCGCGGCTATTGCGACTACCCGCGCTGCCATCAGAACATAAATCAATGCAGCGCGTTATTACCGGCAGCATGAAAAAGGCGTTTAACTTAAAAGCGTCTCTCAAATTCTCGACGGGGGAAGAGACCATAAACGGTAACTGTCATGAATCAAACCCCTACATAAATCAAAACCGTGATGACTCAAAGCCTAGATGCATCAAAACCTTTACGAAGCAACACCTAAATGAATCTAACTAAACCTACGTAATATAACGCGATTTTCCCCGCACGTTCCTCCATCTATAATTATAGCGTTAGTATAATGGTATGACCCTTACCGAAATACTATATAGCACAGTCCACATTCGTATATACGCGATAGCCTAATCAACGACTACGTCAATCCACCTTACAGACATAATCGTGAAATGCCTGGACACTCCTGGCCGGAAGTTGATGGAGGTGACATTGGAAATGTCGAACAGCTTCTGGGGAAGCGTCTACACGGCCAGAGACTTCGGCAGCTCCAACTGCCGGGCTCGCGGCACCGGGTCGAACTACGTGCGTCTTTACGTGCCGTTCTACGGCTGTAGCACGCGGGAGCTGGTCGATCGTCAGGTTCGTACGTTAATACGACGTGTTACGCACGCGAGCTCACCCCGCGTGTCGCTGAGCCATCATGATTGCACTTTAGCTATTTGCCGCGTAAGCGAAGCGTGCTGAGGTCGTAAAAAGTCAAGCGGGTGAGTCAAGTGCTACGTTGTAAAACAATAAAAACACGCTTGAACGTAGGTAACACTTAAGAGGTGACAAATTAAAGGGAGGTAACAATTAAAGGCAAAAAAATTACAGCCATGTTCCAATAAAAGGTGGGTAACAATAATTGATAGGTGGTGATAAAATGTGGAAGTCAATTAAAGGTATAGGTGTTGATTGAACGCATAAAATAGTTAAAGGCAAGCTCCGATCATAAAAACGTAAACGTAGAAGCGGTTTGTTTTAAAAATTGTGCCATATTGTAGTGCGGTAGGTGTGTATTGTTGTCGCGTAACAACGCGACAAGGATCTTTTACACAGCAATTTGACTACGAAGGATAAAGACTATCAAAAGTATAATTATTGAATTGACGATTTAATTATCTGACTAAAACCAAGTAAGAATAGCTCGATAGTTTTTATTTTCGTACGCACGAAACATTATTTTCATTGGCACGATTCAGTCGATGGGACCTATAGACTCTAATAAAGCTATCCTATGTTTGGTGACATCTTGTGTTTGGTGACCACAGCGCGCACCGCGACAACGCAAGTTCGTCAACAACATCGTCGTACAGAACAGTCCTAACAGCATTGTGGCCGGCACTGACAAGGCCTACCCCGTCAGCTGCACACTGCGTCTGTCACAGCCCACGACGACCACAGCCCCCGCTCCCATGCCTCTACAGGCGCAGGTGAACACCGGAGGACTGGGGAATAGGTTCTCCGGATACGGCAACGTTCCCATAGAGCATCTACTGTGTAAGTGCGGAAGCAGCAGGCAGAGAGTTGGCAAAATAGGGGGAGAGATCGCGCGAGTGTGTATGTGTGTGAGAGGAAGAGAAAACAGCCATAGTAAGAGGTTGAGAAAGGGTGAGAGGGAGACGGGGAGACATAGAGAAAGGCGCGATGAGACAGAGAGCATATGCGAGATGTTGGAAAAGTAACACCCGTAAGAAACTATTGCAGGATGATTTGCAGTAACTTTCGAACGAGCTCAGAACAGTATCACAACGCAAGCAGATGCACGCCTGAGCCGTTCTCCAATGTTTCAATGACATTTCTCACCATATTTCAAGGAGGCGGCCAAAAATTCTAACAACTCTATTTACATTTTAATAGACTCATATTTAAAAACTAAAAAGATATATATTCATTTACTCCGTTATAAACTATCAGACAAAGCCCACACCATTACGCCATTTGTCGCATATGACTCCGAGGTTTATTTCAGCTGGTCAACATGAGCCCTTCACGAACTACGACCAAGGCAGGTCGTTCAACACCTACAACAACCATCTGCTCGGAGGAGGTCACGATGAGCACACGGATATCAAGTGGCTTGAGGACGATGCAGATTTTAAGTGGGTTAACGATGATGTCGGCACACCTTAAGCGCACACACGTATACAGTTACAACACAGATAGCAACAACACAAAATGGCTTCGGTTCTGTGGAGGGAGATAGTTGCAGATGCTCCATACCATAGTCAGGGGTTTAGCTAACTCATTTTGTCTGGAGTCAAAACCACGCGCGGTTTGTATTCTGGGCAGTTGACCGTTGGGCAATTGGCCATTGGCCATGCATTAGTATCTACATTTGTATGGAGGTGCGATCGCCCTCCTCCCCCCCGCCGCTAAATAGGGACCTGATTGTTAGAAGTAGATAGAGACCCGAGCGTTGAGAGAACAATCCGATAGATGGAAAGATAATAAATGAACGGATAAATCAATTAGGAGGATAAATACGCAGAGAATAAGACAGCTATGTCGACAGATTGGGCAGATAAGCATACAAATTGAATTGTCATATGCTGTAGATATACGCATAAATGTACTGAGAACGCACCGCTATGCATTGATAGGCATGTTAATATAGATGAACGATGTCGTCATAAATAAACAAATAAATCAATAGCAATGATTGATATGCTCATGGCAATGAGACAGAAATGATTGAGAAATATACAACGGGGTTAATTGAGGCGGGGAATAGATATGCATGAACATGCTTGGCCAAATATGCATAGATAGACGTGCTTAAATAGGTACGTATAGAAGGACAGCGTCTAGTGCTAATACGTATCTGGAGCTCCTAACCTGTCAACGGTGGGGTGGGGGATTGAAGGACTTGTGTATTTTCAATTTCTTGTAGATGTAGCTGGTAGTTGAGAAACACTTTGAAGTTCACACTAGAATTTTGTTCTCTCTTGAATTCCGAACGAGACGTGGTGTTGTGCAGGTTAATCCGACACCTTAGATGGATGCCCTTACTTAATGTTTTATTTGCAAGACGGGGAAACGCCTCAGCCTAACGACTGGATGTATAGTTGAAACGGGCGGCGTAGCGACGGCTGCCTACTGTGTCTCGCAGTGTGTCGCTCCGTATATCAACAGACGACGGTGTTGTTCCATGTTTCAGCGAGCAGCACGGTGGCGCCCCCTTGAACGAGAAGCCCGACCCAGAGCTGACCGTATTTCCGGGCGTGTCGGGATCTACAGAGAACTTCTTCACAGTTGGCCAGCCGGCCACCGTGCTCGTCGAGTGGGACAACACCAGTAAGAAACAAGCTTACAAGCCGCTATGCAAACGGTCCAACATGTTATCAGGAGTGAATAATAATAGAATCTATTATTATTATTCACGCCTGATGTTATCAGTTACAGGGATATGGGGAGCCAGCGTATTATTTTGTGTTTTTATTTGTGTACCAGCACTAGTAAAAATCGAGCGCACAAGCAGCTATGCAGACGGTTCACCGTGTTAGCAGTTATATGGGTAGAGGGATCCAGCGCATTACAGAGTGCCTCATCTGTGTACCAACATCAATAAGCATCGAGTTATACAATGACGAATCCGGAAACGTGCAAAGAGGGATTCACATAGTTGTTACAGTGGCGGATCCAGAAGGGGATTGGATGGCTAGCCACACCCCTCTGTTGGACTAACATGATTTTTACACATATTATACCAATTAATTATTGCCAAGTATAATAGTCGCGCGGCTGGACAAAACAGTACCTGGTGCATGGGTTAAATTATGTAATTGAGTGGCAAAGCAGGTTACAACCGTTTTGTTGCTGTTTTCACAATTTCAAGAAAGAGTTTTGCTATCGCCCTCATCCCAGCGGTGGTCCCCCCCCCCCGGTACAGCAATCAATGCCGCGCTGCAAGCGCAAGAATTGTTCTACTAAAAAGAGAATTGTCGAGGTCAGAATGAAGCCTGTACATGTACTCAAAGGTGCCTCAAATACCATCTCCTGCGTTCTACATTTTCCGAATTTTCTGGGGGAAGACCCCCATACAGAAGTGTGTTGGATGTCTGTGGCCTCTTTTCTCACCCTCCTTGAAATCCTGAATCCGCCACTGCTGTTATGTTAATGACTAAACCAACCGCAAAGGGTATGCGTAGTCCATCAACATAATGTTTTTATCAGCACTTATAGATGGCTCTATCCGGCAATTAATTCTATATATTTAAAATAGTAAAGCATTCTGTGGGTGTGGGTATGGCATGTAGGCAGCTATGCTAATAGCTGTATCATCAGCTAGCAGGTTAAGGGTATGTTAACGTATAGCATAATGATATCGAAATATGTTTTACCAGTACGTGGGCAACTCACTTCAGCAAGTAATTCTAGATAATTAAAATTTAATTATCTGATAGTTTGAGAATCGCTTCAAAGCGAATAAAAGCTAGTAATTATAAAAGAACGACGGAGATAAATTTAAATTAAGATCGATCGAGATTCCGGTAAGAAATTCATAGAATTTATTGCTGTTTCGAAGAATTGCAGATTGCCCAAGGGTGGGCTTATGGAATGGTCGATCTGGAAGTAGTACCCCCTGCGGTATCCTGACACAGACCTCAACTAATCCTCGATTTCATTTCTCTCTCAGCAACACAAATAGTAACCCACGGTTTACTTATCACAATCAACGAACCAGCAGCTGCTAAATTCTGCTGCTCAGTGTACACAGTTAACACAGAGCGACACAGTGAAGTAACTCGCACAGTAGCCGCTCTATTAGTACACGAGAAGAATTATAGTACAGAGCGCATATCTCCCGCCAGGGACATCGTAGCGAAGCGTCGCTGGCGTGTGACAGTGCTGATAATATTCATCTAACTGAGTATTCCCTCTCCGGCCGTAGAATGAATTCGTTAGTTTAACGGTATTTGTCCTCATGGTCCCAATTAGTTCCACAGCTAAACACGGATCGACGCCCCAATGGGTATTCCGCGCGAAATATGAACGGATATGCGTACTTCCAATTAATTTGCTACTGGAAAATTTTCGATTTGCTCATAGATGCGCTGCGAAGCGACAGTGCTTATGTGCAGCTGCTGCTGCTGCTGCTGCTGCTGCTGCTGCTGCTGCTGCTGCTGCTATTGCTACTACTACGTACTACTACTACTACTACTACTACTACTACTACTACTACTACTACTACTACTACTACTACTACTATTACTACTACTGCACTGCTACTGTTGCTGTTGTTGTTGTTGTTGTAGTTGTTGTTGTTGTTGTTGTTGTTGTTGTTGTCATCGTCGTTATTGTTTTTGTTGTTGTTGTTGTAGTTGTTGTTGTTGTTGTTGTTGTTGTTGTTGTTCTGCTACTCATGCTGTTCAGAACCCACACTACCAACGACACAAGCCAATTCTCCTTAAATCGGATTTGAGAAACTATTACTAACGCGATATAACCACAAAATAAACCGGCAACCATCAAAATCGCCGGCGCCATTTTGTTCTACGGCTAATTCACGCGATAGCCACTCAAATCCGATGGCAGTGTTCGATAAGCGATTTCTGCTAAACCCACGAGCCATATATCGAATTAGCGTCGACCCATAAAACAAGCGTTTGCTCGACCCGTCGCAAATTCACGCAGACGGATTTTCGTTTCAAAACCGTGAAACGCGTAAGTTGATTATGTACTGCCCTCGCAACGTTATCGAATTCCACGCGATTTCCACAATGATTCTACGATCTATCGCAAATTGTCGGCACAGACTAGAACGACCATGCGGAAATGTAAAACGGATATTCCTCTCTTCCTTTATTTATGTACTCCGTACTCTGATATTACTATCAGATTCATCTCAGTGTCATAAACACTATTAAACAGAGATGTAGGTATACTGTCTGTGCATCCGTTTATACCAACTATTTATGTACACTCTGCGCACGACAGGTTGTAGTCTACGTCAGGGTCACGATTAGGGTGAGGGTTGGGGCTAGTGTTAAGGTTAGTGCCAGTATTAGGAATAGAAATAATGGTAATATTATGGTTAGGGTGAGGGTGAGGATGACGACGACGGTGATTATGATGTACGCATAGTAGTTCTAGAGAGTTCGAGCAGTTCGAATTCTTCTAGACGATGTAAAGTAGCTTAGAGCGTGCATGACGCATGTGCGTGCGTGCGTCTTTGCTAAAACGAACGTGGCGCGAAATTCGTAATTCCTTCGTATTTTATACGTGATGGCGGCAGCATATATATCATCCCTGGCTACTAGCACATCCGGTATATTATAATCTCACGCGTCGTTCTCGTCGCGGTATCATGCTCTTTACGATGCTGAACACAAACTGTGCGTACAATACGCGTGTATGCGTGCATAATTCATTCACCGGCGCGCTTGTAATAGTATGGACTACTTCCTACGCGCATGCACAAATTCTACTTCGTTACAGAAAACTGGGACGTGATGATCAGAAACTGCTACGCACACGACGGCAGGGGGCAGTATTTCATCAAGCTCATCGATGATATGGGGTGAGGAGCGAGCGACATTTGTGTGGATGGCTGTCTGTGGCGACTAGTACGCGCAAGCTGCCCCACATGGAAGATTTACGCGTGGCGTACCGAGCCTCTAGCCAATAAAGCCCTGTAGAATAAAATATGCATGCTCTACTCCACGGTCGCATCGTATAATGTGACCTTTTAATGTCGTACATGCGCTTGTTGCTCAGGCACATCACCATTTTGTTCACGTATTCAGCGTGCTCGGTAAGTGGCTACGTCAAATATGCACATACCGGGTATATCACTAATAGATAGACGAGAAGCGCGTTCGTATAGCGTAGTGATGCACCAATCTGTTCTAAATGCGATTTACGTCTAATCTCCACATGCCAAGTGCATCACTTTTAGGACTCGCGAGAGATCTTATGTCTCCAAAAGTGATATAGCAATCTGTTTGTAAACGGCCAATGCGAACACAACAGCGCGAACAGCCCACCGCGCCCACGTGGCTATCACGTATTTCCGCAACGGGGCAGATATTATACGCGTCCAGTCAACATGGCCGCCGTGTCAACCATTGCAGATGCGCCCGCCACGACCTGACGGGTGCGCCACTGTACCTGACGAACCCAGTGCGCGATTTCGGATTCAGCGGAGGCATCGTTACTCGCACGATCGACTTCAACTTCTTCTCGTTCCGCTTCCCGTCATCCGACACCGTCTACTTCCACTGCGAGACACGCATCTGCGAGCACGCATGCGTGGTAAGTGAATCCGGCGACGGTAGGCGGCGCTGTCGCACGCGGCGCCGTGACGTAACTAGAATCTTCGAAGTTGTCGAGGGAGGGTGTCGTTCCATGGTCCTTGCATGTATTTTAATACCACGGGAGGGCGCTTGCTTAGGCGAGTAAAAACCACGTCCACGAACTACAATATGATAACGATTACTAATACGCCCGACACTCATGCTATAAATACCATGACGAGTAAATAGCATAGCACCTAAACGACGAATAATAGAAATCTCTATCTCCCCACCCTCCAATACATTACTCCATTGCTGATCGCATTTTGTCTTGGCACGCCACCAGCCTGGCCAGTGCTTCTATGCGCACAACCCCTACACTCGGCCCAAGAAACACAACCACCACAAGCGCTCAGCAGACTTCAACGAAACCTTGATTGAGGATACGGAGACAACAGCGACGCGAGATGAGACGCTAAAGAAGAAGCCGAAGCAGGAGGTGAATGTGAAGGGCGACGGAGGTGAGAGGAAGCCGAGAGAGGAGGTGAAAGTGGAGCTGTCGGAGGGAATTGTCGTCTTCCTCCCCGGTCTCAACGATGAAACCACGCTTGGTACGAGACAAACATAAAACCGAAACATCATGTGGGTCCAGTTGTGGTGGTGGTGGTGGTGGTGGTAGTTGTGGTGCTGCTGGCGGCGGTGGTGGTGCTGCTGCGCTGGTGGTGGTGGTTCTGGTGGCGGTGGCGGCGGCGGTGGTGGTGGCGGCGGCGGCGGTGGTGGTGGAGGTGGCGGCGGCGGCGGCGGTGGTGGTGGAGGTGGTGGTGGTGGTGGCGCTGCTGCTGGTGGTGGTGGTGGTGATGGTGGCGGCGGCGCTAGTAGTAGTAGTGGTGTGCGTGCGTGCGTGCGTGCGTGCGTGTGTGTGTGTGCGTGTGTATTTGTGTGCCTCAATAAAGAGAGAAAGAGAAAGAGAGAGGGAGAGAGAGATTGCTGTTTATATGTGAGGAGGTGTTTCAATATAAACGATCCCGACGCTTTGCGCGCAATCAGTGTATATAAAAGAGATAATAGATTTAATATTAATAGTATTAATTAGTAAATCTAAGTTTATATTTACACAGATCATGTAATCCATTTTATTCTTGTTCTCCTGTTTCTTCTTGTTCTTGTGCTTTTTGTTGTTGCTGTTGTTCGTCATCGTCTTCTTCTTCTTTCTTTCATTCCTATGTTTCTTTTATCTTCATTTTAATCTCCGTGCTCTTGAGATTAATGTTAGCAACAGGCGAGCGGTTTTGAAATCACATTAATACATTAGACTAACTCAATAAACTAAGGCGGCCGAACTAGATACTGGATCCTCTGCTAAGCCGGCTACCATTGTTCTATTTCAGTGGAAGTTGAAGCTGCAACCGCCCCCGCCGCCCCCGACACTGCTTCGTGCGTCCAACCTGTCAGTTTTTACTCAGTCATCGCTGCCACTATAGTGTTCGTGATCCTGACGGCTGTTGTTGTTAGTCTGAAGGTCAAACACGTCACGGTTAGTAAAGTTTAGAGAGAGGGAGAGAGTAGGAGAGAGAAAGAGAGATGGATGAAAAACATACGTACAAGATGGACACAAGACAATAACGAGTGGAATATTTACTTGACACTCGCTATGTCTAACGTTCTTCTTTGGTTTTGTTGTAGTGCAAATGATAATCAAGACTGTCTATATGTATGCCTACTGTCATGTGCCGCTCCATTTCGTGATGTAAAATGTTCTTGCTATGTTACGTTTCGTGATTTGATGTTTCTGTGATGTTACGTTTTGTGATTTAATGTCCATGTGAGTTTACGTTTCGTGATTTGCTATGTCTATATGTGCCATTAGATTGATGTATGTCCCTGTGATGTTACGTTTCGTAATTTGCTATGTGCACGTGACATTAGATTTCGTAACTTGATATATGTCCCTGTGATGTTACGTTTCGTGATTTGATATATACATGAGACATTACATTTCTTGATTTAAAATGTCTATGTGACATTTCACTTTGTGGTTTGTTTTGTACCTATTACGTTTGATTACGATAAACCGTTCCAATATGGCGGACGACGCGTTCTGTGACTCTCAATGTTGCTATGTGGTTACTCTGGCACCACTCCGTATACTGATCATGTGAAACGTTTAGCCGTCACCTATAGACCTAGCTGACGTCAATGCGGAAAATGCCGGATTCTGCTGCCGTATGATTTTGACGGTTGGCCTGTTACCTCTTTATGCAACATGGTTTCCGGTGCGTCTTCTGGGGTCACGTGCACACGGCTTTGTGGCTTAGGTAACTGGGGCGTGTTAGTTCGTGGAATGTTCATGAGTGTATAGCTTTAGCCGTTGACAGCCGATATACTCCCATTTACTCCTAACATCGCTCCGTAATTCAGCGTTTATTGCCACGCGCTGTCCGCTTAATCTAATCACAGCTTGTAATGATGTATGTTATTTTTACCTGAGGTACTTTAGATATAGTATTACAATTTGTAGTCGCCGAGAGCCCAATTAATTGTGGAATCAGAAGAAGCATAGGGTTATAATACAGTACCTCCTCACGGTTACTCTAGCATCGAATTCATTCACTACAGTTTCGTCCACCCATTCCTTCACAATATACAATTCATACACACATAAACAATATTTATATGAGCAAATGTGTTTGCAAATAGGCATTCGCTGTCTCAGAGCCAATGCAACCAAAACGATGATTGAGGGAGTCAATCTACAATGGCGGGAGGGTGTAGATCGGGGGTTTCAAGAATCATTATTTTTGTTTCTGTATTTTATTCTGTAATATACCCATTTTCATCAACATCCTTATCAAAGATATCAAATCATTAATTTTGCTAGTTAACAAGCACGTATATCATAGTAAATCGCTGCCAAGTATAAATGTTATATCTGACTACTATGGCACCGTATTTATTAATATCATTTGTTATAACTTTCGAACTGATTATTAGTGAAATAAAATGACGTTTGCATTATTACATAAAATAACTTTTGTTCATGTTCACATTTGGAAAATATCTTTCGGTTATTTTACAATGTTAATTGTAACTTTTCAACTAATCAACAGAAGAAACGTCCGCGCGCGCGCAATCTCTCTCTCTCCCTCTGTCTGTCTGCCTGCCAGCCTGCCTGTCGCTCTGCAGGGCACATAGGCGTTAACTGAGTTATTTTTAATACAACACTAAGCTTTATATATGTATATACTGATATGCATACCTCACTTTATTCTAGACAAGATTTATATATATATATATATGCCATTCTAAAATGTGAAGACATGGAAACCATTTGATTATGATAGCTAGGAAATAAACGATAAGCACTTGACATATTACACACGATTTCACGGTAGTAAATCGGGTTATTACAAACATTTGTGCAAGGCTACTGTACAATACAAATGTTTCAAATAATGTCGAAGAATATTTTCACAAACTCAACATTGACACAGTGTGCTCATTTTTCTATGATCGTGCTATAGAAACACGCGTACAATGTCAGCGTAATCTATTGATTAATCTCGGTGTAACTGGACGTATAAATGCGTGAGCGTCGTCCACTGCCCGGTTGTAACCGCAATGCAGTTAAATTTCATATAAGTATGCCTCCGCGATACCCTGACTACCTGACTACCATATTT